AGCTAGTGGCCCAGGGGGGGGGCCCGCGGGGGGGGGGGGTGGCACATGGGGAGGCCACTTGGTGGTGGCCCATGGTGGTGGCCCATCATGGTGGCCCACAGGGCTTCCCTTGGGTGGTGGCCCATCATGGTGGCTCCCAGAGGTTCCCTTGGGTGGTGGCCCATCATGGTGGCCCATAGGGCTTCCCCTGGGTGGTGGCCCCCCAGGGATGGCCAGTGGTGGCCCACAGGGCTTCCCTTGGGTGGTGGCCCATCATGGTGGCCCATAGGGCTTCCCCTGGGTGGTGGCCCCCCAGGGATGGCCAGTGGTGGCCCACAGGGCTTCCCTTGGGTGGTGGCCCACACAAATGCCCCTGCGTGGTGGCACATAGGGATGTCCCCTTGAGTGGTGGCCCCCCAGGCATGGCCTGTATTGGCCCCACAGGGGTTCCCCTTGGGTGGTGGCCCATCACGGTGGCCAATGAGGGTTGTGCCTGGGTGGTGATCCATCATGGTGGCCCATGGTGGTGCCCCTGGGTGGTAGCCCACAGTGGTGGCCCACAGGGATTCCCTTGGGTGGTGGCACGTGGGGGATGCCCCTGGGTGGTAGCCCACAGTGGTGGCCCACAGGGGTTCCCTTGGGTGGTGGCCCATCATGGTGGCCCACAGGGATTCCCTTGGGTGGTGGCCCAACATGGTGGCTCACAGAGGTTCCTGTGGGTGGTGGCCCATCATGGTGGCCCACAGGGGTTCCCTTCGGTGGTGGCCCATCATGGTGGCCCACAGGGATTCCCTTGGGTGGTGGCCCAACATGGTGGCTCACAGAGGTTCCTGTGGGTGGTGGCCCATCATGGTGGCCCACAGGGGTTCCCTTCGGTGGTGGCCCATCATGGTGGCCCACAGGGGTTTCCTTGGGTGGTGGCCCACAGTGGTGCCCCTGGGTGATGACCCACGGCGATTCCCCTGGGTTGTGGCCCATGGTGGTGCCCCTGGAGTGGTAGCCCCCCTGCCCCCTCCAGGGTGGGGGGTGAGTGGGGGGTTT